GCCATTGCAGCAATTGTTGGCTTCGCTCTTGGGAGCATCCAGACCCTAGGCCGTGTCGCCTGGCTTGCATGGGTTGGCGTGATTTGTATTTTGACTGCAAGTGAGTTGAGCTTCCCATTCATTAGATTAGCAAGGTCTAACATACCCACAGTTTTTACCGTTACCATCGCAGTTGGGGTACAAGACCGTCCTGCCGCAGCACCGCAAGATGGTGTGTACGTCTCCAATTATAAAATCATCAACAATCCATCTTTCACCGAGGCCATTTCGGCTTGCTCCTCCCTCGTTTTTGCCTACGCGGGCACTCCAGCCTTCTTCTCGATCGTTTCTGAGATGCGCGAACCTAAACATTATACTCGAGCACTCATTATTTGCCAGACTGTGGTCACTATCACATATATCACTATTGGCATTGTGGTTTACTATTACTGTGGATCCTATGTTGCATCGCCTGCGCTTGGTTCCGCCGGCACACTACTGAAGAAGATTGCCTATGGATTTGCGCTTCCTGGTCTGATTGTCACAACGGTATTGGTTACGCATGTAAGGATTCCTATCTCCAGTCTGTATAATGCATACTAACGATCATATAGATAGCGGCGAAGTATCTTCTCCTACGCTTGTTACGAGGCTCCCATCATCTCACTGACAACACTGTACGACATTGGGTGACATGGTTGGGATGTACTGGTGGCATAGCGCTGACCGCATATGTTATCGCAAGTGCTATTCCAGTCTTCGGCGGCCTTGTCTCACTCGTTGGTGCATTGCTTGGAACTCTTATGGCCTTTCAACCAATGGGCTGCATGTGGTTATATGATCACTGGAGGGAGCCACGGACGACCCGGTGGTATCTGATGGTTACGTGGAGTGTCTTCGTTATTGTCTCTGGTACTTTTTTGATGATTGGTGGTACATACGGGTCTGTGGTCAGCATCATCGATTCATACAAAGAGTCCGGCGGATCCTCCGCCTGGTCTTGTGCTGACAACTCAAACTCTGTGTGAGACGGCAATGTTCTTGGGAATTTCTGAGGTCTGATTGGACGCACGCTCAGTCGAGGATATCGTTCCTGGATAGATGGCTGGCTGAAACACAAGTCAAGCATTGCTACGTACCTAGCCTGTATAGACCTAAACTCCTCCAGAATACCTTCGTTCTGCGGACATTGAGACAACAAGAAGAAAAGAACAGCTTGAACATTGACAAATCGCGTAACCACTGGGGCCAGGATGGTTGTGACAAGCTGAGAGTGCTGCATGCCTAATCCTATTGAAGCTAAACCGGTATCGCATAGATCAGGCACGCGTATCATGTGCCCTTAGGCCGCGTGCACCACCACTTAATTCAATGCATCAACAATTTAATTATGATTAAGTCAATAGCGCGTTTTTTCTTCTTTGGTCTTCTTTCAATACAGTTCGTCGATTAAACTATCTGAGTCGTTAACTTGCTGCGATTTAGTGGAGGCTTTACCTCACGAGTAACCGAGCCGTCGACTGCTCAAAAAAGTGAGCGTGGTATGTTACACAAGACATTCTTTTGTGTCAGAAACGCCAAGCCTAACAAGGCGGCTAAAATGTTGCCATAGATGACACGCCAAGGGTCGAGTATTCGCGTCCACCTCACCTACTCTGGGATCCTCACTTTCCATACTTCGAAGGGCATTCTAGCAATAGATAGGAAAATTTAGAGCTTCTTCATCGTAGTAAGCAGCGTCTTGCTCTTTCGAAGATTCCGTAATCACTGGATAGAACGCTCTAACCTTCTTAGTCTAGAGCACCTACAATATTTACCAGCAGTGGGTCTTCGGCCTGAACATACGGAATGTGATTGACCATATTAAGGACAGGTCGCCGACAGTGGATTTCGTAAAGTAGTCGTCGTATATCAACCTTTCAGAGCTGCAAGCCACGAAGTGGTATGAATATATAACGACGCACTGGCCAAGCTTTTCACCCATCCGCAAAAATGTTGTAGATAGGTCTTTGTTCAACAACTCTTAATGTTTCTCTCAAAGTATGGACGAAAGAAATAGAACAATGTGAAGAAGGATGTGCCCATTATGTAGCACCATTCCACCCGATTCCAGCCTTAACCTCACTTTCCGCTAGTTATCATGAATGGATATAGTTCTTGAGTGCAAAGCTTTATACTTAACCGTCCCACAAGGTGTTTCGGTTCACAGTCTTTGGTCAAGGCTAGCGTGTAGATTGTTAGCAGTAATGGGCGATGTGATTATGTATGCACTTGTTGCAAGGTATTCAAGTGTATAGGAGAAGGCAGTGGTGCTGTCGTGTAATCTTCGGCCTGACGAGGAAGAGGGAGACCAATCATACTAGGTGGCATAACAAGCAGTATCTATGTGCAGTCCTGCTGCTCTAGCTTATCTCCCTGCAACAAATCGCATACATCGGGCTTCTCTCGAGCTAGCATTGAGGCAACCATATTTGTAGGATTTGTTTGCCCCTTTCCCAGGGCTTAACTGTAACCTAAGGCTCAGAATCTTTTATATGACAGGAGTTTTCCAGGCTGAGGAGCTAAGAACATTCATCAGTGCATCCTAGGAACTCGAACTGACATACTTTCTGGGTTATATGTCATGATAAGAGTTCTCAAGGGTGTCCTTGGAAGCAAATGATACCTTCGTGCACTAGAACTCGAAGTGACCAATCACGTGCTGTCAATCGTCAAGTCGAAGTGGACGCGGACCTCGAAGTCGCCAATCGATTTTATAGCAACATGCCTGAGGTGGAGAGATGACAGGAAGGCTAACCTGACTCTTTGTCCTCCTTGAGTTGGGGTTACGTGTCCTGGTGTTAATTACTAGCCTTATGGTTGTCTATAAAAGGCTCTTCACTTCTCTCGAACAGTAACTTACCCTATCCAAACATCGAAAATCCACACTTCACTCCCTTTATTAAGCAGACGAACAAACCGAAGAACACTTTTCAACCAGTCACACCAAAACGTCCTCCTCTGACACCTTATCTTCAACAGAACCTCCCAGCTTTCTCCAGGACGATCTTTCCCCAGTGAAGTTGAGATACATCCCACTTCCAAACTTCATACCAGGCCCGACCGGGGACCCGATTACTGCAACTGAAGGCTTACGCCCTCCATGTCGTCGTTGCCTACAGGATGCTATCCCCGGAGAAGTCGTTGTTCTTCGCGGCTACGATCCATTCCCCGAAAACAGTATCTCTCCATACCGAGGTAGTGGTCCAATCTTTGTTCATGCACATGAGTGCAAGACTTTTGATGGTAGTAAGATACCTGAGAGACAATTGAGACGTATGATGAGTGTCAGAGCCTATAACAAGGATGATATAATGGTGGCAGCCAAGATAACAAAGGGGGATGAGTTGGAAGAAGTTGCTGGTAGAATGTTGGCGGATGAGAAGGCAGGATATATCAATGTACATAACGCCCTGCCAGGATGCTTTGCTTTTCGGATTGAGAGAGCTTAGTGTAGACGAGTCTTGCCAAAAAAAAACCTGCAACCTGACTTCGACTCATATTGCTCCTTAATTAAGGTATAAGTGATGTTAGCGGGATTATGGGCAAAGGTCTTCAAGTTAATTTTTCCTAAGCAGCCAAGCCACGCAAGCGGAGAAGCAGTTACTTGCCCGAGATTTAAATATGTAGATTTACTATTCAAGCCTTGGCAAGAGGACAGATGTAATCAAGCTGCTTGCGTGAATTTGACAGCATACAAGATTCATATTGTCATCCTCAGGCTCATATCCCAAGGAGCCATCTCGTTTGGTATGTTTCCACTGCTCCAGATCTTTCGAATTTAATACATCGCTAGCGGAGCAGAAGGTGTTCATCTTGTTCTTGCTGTATCTCAGGTCCATAGCCCCAGGGTATGAGCTTGACGTACAGTTTCACAACCAGCGCAAAGGATTCACGGAGGAGAATCTGTGCTCGAAGTCCAGATGTATGGTGGGCGCGGTCCAAATCGCTCTTTGTGTCAACTTGAGCGCGATTGTCAAACTAGAAGCCTTCCAGAGCTGATATGGGCATTCTTATACCAACCTTGCACGGACCTAATCAGGCTATTATCCAACTCTCCAAATATCATTATGATGCACAGTAAATACTCCTAAAGTTTGTCCAATACAAATAATAGTGTAGGTTGATTGATTCTGGGGCCAGATGGATCTCGATATTGCGTCACATCTCTTTACCTTGACAGCAGTATTGGTAGATTGCATGCATGATGGTCAGTAGATCTCATACACCCTGCATCTTGGCTATACCTTGATGCTGTAGAATGCACTCTCGCAAGTCCGCAAAGCATTCTCAAATACGCTGTTGCGGATTGAACGAAGCAAAGGCAGTCGTTGGTCTGATCCTATCATCACTCGGCGATATCTGGACTAAATCGTGGCGGCTGTAATTACTGCTTTACTTCCAGACATCCATCTAGGTCCTAACAGTGAAACACTTCGGTCTTTGTGTAGTGATGATGAGGTTTAGCAACATTGCAGACAAGGAGCACCAAAGATTTATGGATGACTCGCATGTTGTAAATTTTGTATCTATAAAACGTTGACGAAATTGAAAACAGTAGCCACTGGAACAAAGCTTGGTGTGCTGGTTTCCATTAACTGACCTAAGTAAGTGAGGGACCGTCTGCTCTTAAGAAGGCTGTCCTTGGATCTGTTGCAACGGTGTTCCGGTAATGTTTCGACAATTCTGGTTCACCTAGATATCGGAACTGCTGGATCGATAGCCATGTAGCAATGGACATAGCATATATGTTCGGTTTGAGAGGACAATGCCATGTGTGATCTCCGCCAACACTAATGATAGAGCATCGATTGGTGTAAGGAAGCGGAGTGACTGCACAACGACCTGCTCAAGTAGTACCGCTGCCATTTAAAAACTGCAAGAGTTCACTTCATTTTCGACATACGAAAAAAATTGCCCGAAAAAATAAAAAGTTGGAAGGTGCAATCTTCCATTCTCAGGCCAAGTCCCCAAGGATGCTTTGCCCACTACTGGAATCGAACCAGTGATCTTCTCATTTCACACGTGCGCAGTACGAGTGAGACGCATTACCACTGTGCCAAGCGGGCTTGCTTGCAAATCTGTGCGTGATTTCAGAGATATAATAATGGCTAACATCAATATAACGGTCTACGTGACTACATAACCTTACCACTAACTAGATACATTCTGTTCGTACATCAGCAGTTACGACGCTCTCTAACAATTTATCTTATCCTCATAACATACTTATGTTCAGCTGGAACATAGTAGCTCGTCTACCGCGGTACTATCTCGGAACTCTCTTCGGACTCAGACTACCATTTCTGCTCTTCCTTCCACCAATATCAAAACGCTCCCTAGACTCGGTCCTTACAAGCAATCCATTCCGATCCATAATGTCTGGTGTCAACCGACCACTGATTCCAGCCTTCTTACTACCACTTCTCTGCGCATTTGGCGAAACATAACCACTTCCCAGCTTCCCTTCCTCTTCATCACTATCCATTCCGCCAAGCTCAAAATCATTAGGGTCATAAAGCGGTTGATTGCCATCCTCTAGCTCCCGGTCGTAGTCCACCGATTTTGTGCGCCGTCCGAAAAGTCTGTTGATCCTCGCTAAAATTGATGATGAATTTGTGCGACGGTTACTGAAAACAGCTGATGCAGCGCCTGTCTTTCGCCGCCGCATGTAGAAAAGTGCTATTACTAATATAAACAAGAAGAATATAAATCCAGGAATTCGATGTGGCGCATCTGATTGAAAGATGGTGTCCGTGATTTTACCGGTGATGGATTGGTCAGGGATGGTGAGTGAGCCAGGTTGTAGCAGTCCTCCACCAGGTAGTTGAAAATCCGATGGTATGCCCGCCACATTGCTGCCAAAGCCAACGGGAAGATCTTGCTCATGAATTGGTGGTACATCTGCAGAAGCGTACAGAACCATCTTTCCCATGGTCCAGCTAATTTCTGTCGATTTGATCTTGTTGACTGCTTGAAACGGATCAAGGAAGCCTTTAGCCTTGCCAGCGTCGATCAGATCTTTCGTTCCGTTAGTCGAGCTCGGGATATGTTCGAGGCCAAATCTAGGAATGCCAATACCATCATGCAAGATATTGATCAGCCAACTAGCTTTGAAGCACACCTCATATGCTGTTTGCTCGTCCGTCTGCTTGCCCCAAATCTTGTCGTCGATTCCTGCCTCGATGATGTCCCAGTCTTGCGAACAAAACTCGCTCACCCGCTGCTGGTACGTTGTGAAATCGTATGATTTATCCTTGTGTGCCATCTCAAAGATCTCGTGCGTGGTGTGCCAGTACTCGCTAATACCGACAAAATGGTTGATATCGAAATCGATTGCTGGCACATGCTGTCCATTGATCAAACACGGCTCATCCAGGCAAGGCTTGTCCTTTTCAAGCAGGGGCAACGTACGCCTAAGACACTCATCAAAGGCACCGGTACCCAAAAGATGCTGTTGTGATGCTATGTCCTCCCCAATTAGTTTACCGTCAAATGTGAGCTTGACACCATGTGGTAGACAGGGATCCGGGATCTCAATCAAATCATCGACGGCATACTCTTTCTGCAGTTCGAGGACATACTTCTTGCGAGCTTCATTGACTCCAAATCCCAGCCACGTTGTAACAAACACCTTGTACTCTTGCGGCCGCCCATCAATTGTCCGTAACCTCATTAGGGTCAGGTCGTTAGCATGCTTCTCTGCTTCTGTGCTGTTTGGCGCAAACGCAATCTGGGCTGAAGCGCCACCCATGTCCAAGAAGCCGTAGGTATGGTGACCCTTGCCATGATCGTGCTCTTGCGGGTCGTCAAATCCCCCAAGCAGGTAATTCGCTGCAATCCAACCATACAAACCCTCGGTCTCACCAGGAATGACTTGTATATGTACATCGCAGTCTGGCAGAAAAAAATCCGTTTCAGTCTTCAGGTATGAACATATCGATGCAAGGACGCTGTTTCTTTGGTCATCTGGCAAGAGGCGCATGCCTGCCGTCGCGAGCAAGAAGATGGGTGTGTTCAGAACCGAATCTTTCGGTATGAATCTGAGAGCGTGATCGACGAGGCCCTTCAAGTGGTCATTTCCAACAAGCTCAGGAGTCTCTCCAAACGTTGACACGCCAGGATGTACTTTCTTCGTCCATTTGTCTTTCGTTTCCAGTTCCGGCAGTCTCGAGGTTCCTTCGATTTGCGCTCGAGCAAGGGCGTTCTTCAACCAGCGATACACGTACACGCGCGTTCCCGACGAGCCAGCATCAAGGACCACGCCATAATTGTAATTATTTGCTTTCCCCATTTCTCTTTACCCAGCTCAGTGTGATGCCTCTTGGTGTCCGTGCATTATGATGTATTCATTTAATGTTGAGAACGAATGGAAGAGCGACTGGCGCTGGTATGGAGCTTCGGTTGTTGATGAAAGAACTTTATTGCTGACGAAATGTTGCACTGCGAGAGTGACGAGTATGGTGTTTGATGCAAACGGTGGAATAACGGATTCGGCCCCAAGGCGGGTTCCCTACAATAAGGTTGCCGTCCCGGTTGGACTTGTCGTCTGGAGTTGGCCCATCGCGCCTGCTTCGAGTCTAAGGCACTCGCTAGCGCTTTTAATGGTAAGACCCTCTTGCATCCTCGGTTGCGGTGTTCCACCAACGCAATTCCGTCATAATCAACTAGAAAACCAATTCAGTAATCGTTACCATGACATTTACTTGTCTTGGGAAAAGCCGTCACTACATGTTATTGACGCCGGACATGCCATCATCCTGGCTCAGCTGACAACAGTGTGTGGTCGTACACTTTGAATCACAATGGACACGACATCCGACCTCCAGATGAGCTCACTTCGAGATGAGCTGCTTTCTGAGAAGCCAACCGCAGCCCAGAATGGCGATACCGAGGCCACTCTGCTCGACCAGATGGCTCGATTTCGACAGAACCCTTTTAATTTCGCTCACGAGTTGTACCTGTTCATACGCGGCGTCGACTGGAGAGCTTATGACGAAGTAGTTGGCCAACCGGTCTTCTACTCGGGCTACACAACTAAGATCAAAACCAACGTTATGGCATCAACTTTACTGCAGAGAAAAGTGGATCAACTGACGGAGGAGCGGTTGAAGCGCGAGGAGAATTTACACTTCCTTGATTCTAGTAGCCCATCGTTCGCGGCAGACCGCCTCAAGCGACAAACAGAGATCAAGAACAGTCTAGTCGAGTACACAAGCCAGATGGTTGACAAGATGATGTGTAAAATGGAGAGCAAATTTCAAATCCGCTCAGCATTTTATATGTGCACACAGCTCCTGACTCGGGTGTACAGCGGTGTATATGCTTCGCAGCAAGAGGTGGAACGGCTTAAGGAGGTTGCAACATTGGCTGCCGCTCAAAAGAAGCCTATAGTCTTCCTACCTCGACACACCTCGCACATCGACTATGTTGCATTACAGTTGATCTGTTTCCGCCTCGGCATCACCCTTCCGGTCGTCGTTGCAGGAGAGAATCTCAATTTCCCTGTTGTTGGACCCTTTTTGCAACACAGAGGAGCGATGTGGATTAGGAGGAGCTTTGAGGGCGATGCATTATACGCCACGATTGTTCAAGCTTATCTTGACAGCATGCTACAACAAGGATACAATCTTGAATGCTTCATTGAGGGCGGCCGCTCGAGGACGGGAAAGCTTCTCCAGCCCAAATTTGGCTTTCTCGGTTTCCTGCTTGATTCAGTCTTGTCAGGTCGGACTGAGGACGCCTACATCTGTCCTGTTTCGATCCAGTACGACAAAGTCATAGAAGTTGACTCTTACGTGACGGAGTTGCTCGGCAAGCCGAAACAAAAGGAGAACCTCACGGACTTCCTGTCGTCTTCTTCGATACTGGGTCTAAATATGGGTCGAGTCGACTGCCGCTTTCACGAGCCATGGTCACTGCGAGCTCTTATCGACGAGCAGCTTACCCGGCTGTCACCCGGCCCGCTAGCCCAGGACAAGGTCGACACTTCAAGCCACGACATCAGAATGCGTCTCCTGAGAACTCTTGGTTACAAGGTGCTTGCTGACATCAATGATGTGTCGGTCGTCATGCCTACTGCTCTTGTTGGCACAATCTTGTTGACCCTCCGTGGCCGTGGCGTGGGACGAAGTGAGCTCGTTAGACGGGTCAATTGGCTATGCGCAAGGATTGTGAACAACGGAGGTAACGTTGCTGACTTCCACGGCCTGCCAACACTTACCATCGTCGACCGTGCTCTTGCTGTTCTCGGTCCAAAGCTTGTTGGCACCATTGATGGCCTTGCTGAGGAAACATACTATGCTGTGGACCGATTCCAGCTGTCCTTCTACCGAAATATGACTATTCATCTGTTCATCTCCGAAGCTTTGATTGCAGTGTCTCTGTATACGAAGGTGAAACATGGTGGTGGAAAGAGCGCAGAACAGATCCCTGAGGCAGAACTGAAGGGCCAGGTGGCCTTCCTATCACAGCTTACGAGAGGTGAATTTATCTTCCGTGCGGGCCAGGGTTTACAACATAATTTTGAGGAGGCATTGCAAAGACTTGTCCGAGATGAAGTCCTTGAAACGACGCAATCAGAAGGCCAAGGACGGATGGTCGGTCTTTCGCAAGCTGAAAGAGAAACAGGCAGGGAGAATTTCGATTTTTACTGCTTCTTGTTATGGCCTTTCATGGATGCTGCATGGCTCGGAGCTGTTTCTCTACTCTGCCTTGTACCTCCTCCCGGCTCGCCAATTTTGTGGGTCGACATGAAACGAGTACAAAGTATGGCTCAGAAGTTCGGCCGTACGCTCTATCATCAAGGTGATCTGTCATACTTTGAGGCGATCAATACCGAAGCCATCAAAAATGCTTACAGTCGATTTCAAGAGGAAGGGATAATTCGCGTCTCCAGGGCAGGGAACAAAGCTGTATCGACAATGCAAATCGCAGATGATTGGATGCCTCAGAGAGATTCGGAAACCAGTTCGTTGCAACCGGTGGGACGTCTATGGGAGCTTATTGACAGGATATCACAACACCGTCGCGAAGGTAAAGGTCGCCGGGATACTGCCACCGTATCAAC